AAGCATTTTTTTTATGCTTTTGACCAGTGAGCCAAACAGCCTTATAGGAAGAAAGGAAAGCAGAGGCTGGAGACTTCTGTATTGTAATACGATCTTTAAGGAGAACACATCAGGGCTTCCAAAGCCAGCATTTCATTTCTATCTGGGATGCTCTGAAATTACTTATTCCAATGAAGTACACTTATAAATTATTTACCTATTAACAAGTAATGATTTGTATGGAAGAGACTGCAAGCTTGAGGCAACATGAGATGCTTCACCTCACAGCATGTGCAACCCAGAGGATTGAGAAAGGGCAGGGGAGTTCCACCCCCTTTTTGGACAGGAAGACAGGGGACAAGCACTACCCCTGCAGAGACTACTGCCAAGTCTCCGAAGTGGGTACACAAAGTACAGTCACACTTACCGATGGAATTAGCATATGCACATCACTACTGAGAAGATACAGAGGTAGAATATGCTGAACTATCATCTCTTATCGAGGCTGGCTCAATTCATTATTGATGGGGTTACATGGAGGAACTGAAATCATGTTACGTGAATTATGGATTATGTGAGGAAGAAGATGCTTGTATTCACATACTCTCTGGAAGCAGGTCAGGCTCAAGGGACCTTTAAACGCATATACTGAGACACAGCCCTGAACAACCCCATGGAAAGCTGATGTTTCCTGGTAATCATTTCAGATCTAGCAATATCTGTCTAGCCAATCACTATACTTCATTATATTACTGGAGATTTGCTTGAGGACTGAGAGTTCTCCTTGTAATTATTTCTCCACTTCATCTTGAGCTGCAGACCTGGATAGCACTTTAGCAATATTTGGATCTGGACATTATTTATGACCTTGTGAATTAATTTGCTTTATGGAATCTGACTTCGTTTAATAATGAATTCACTGCAGCTAGACTAGTCTAAATTGGAAACTAGATATTCTTCCAAAGCAGAGCTGGCTTCACTCAAGTGAAGTTTTAAAAGAGGCTTAGTCCTTTGCTTATGTGCATTAACCCCAAGGCAGTAGGTTGTACACCCATTAAACTTGCAAGGTGGGGTCCTTTAAATTGTGGGAAGCACTTAGGCTAAAATATTGAACTTCAGTGTCTGAATCTTCACCTGAGGATCAAAATCAGGGGTCAGCAATATATGGCCTGTGGGCCATATTTGATCCCCAGAGCCCCTGGATCTGGCCCAAAGTCTGAGAGCTTTACCTATGCCAGAGCCTGGGCTAGGGCCAAGCATCCTCCAGTTGCAGCTGCTGTTTCTCTTCCTTATGCCCAGGCCGCCTCTCCTCCCCTGGTGCAGCTTCCAGGTTGCTGCTTCATCCTCCCCACCCCCTGCCTCCCAGATGCAACCTGGAATCACAGAAAGTGAGGGTTGGAAGGGACCTCAGGAGGTTTAGTCCAATGCTTCGCTCAGAGGACCACTCCCAGTTTCCAGCTGTTCAGCCCTAGTGCAGCTCCCCACAAGCTGGAAGCTAGGCTCAGCCCCAGCTGAGGAGTGGGGAGGGGCAGGGAGAAGTGGTAGCACAGAGTCTAGTTGTTTCACCCTGCCTGGCACAGGTGCAAGGAAAGCCCTCTACTGCTGATATGCTCTACCTGGTTGATGCAGGATGCCCATTTAAGCAATTGCTTTTAGGACCCATTGGAGCAGCAGGGAACGTTCTGCACCATGGCTATGCTAGGGCAGCTGTAAGAAACCCACACAAGTTTTACCTTGGCTTCTGAACAGCTCTAGGCCTTCTCCAACTTAGATTCAGGCCTGGATTCTGAGCTCTTGCTGCTTGTCTGGCCACACAGTGGTTATTTCCTTCCTTTTATAATTTGCCATCTCATTCCTTTCTCCTAGGACAAGGGTTCTTTTTGATTAAAAAGGACCCAATTCTTGTTAAAGTAGCTGCAGTGACAGAACATGGCATGCTGCCCAAATGCACCATGCTGGGAATAATACAAGCACAATACTCAGTAACCTTGTCTAACTCTCAGGCTCCTTCACAAAACTTATTGGGATCAGGTGACAGAAAAACCAACACTGGGGCTGTAAAATGGACTTCATGGAACAGGGCTAGTGATTGCAGCTCCAGCTGCTGCTGTGCAGACATTTTACATCCCACTTGGGCACATTCTGGTACAGATCTAGCAAGCAGCTTGCAACATAGAATGAATGCTAGTTTTTACATCCCAATGACCTATAGCATGGCTTTTACCAATGGTAATGAAGCAGGGGTAAGTTTCCTGAAAACCATCTCAATAAAAAGGACTTAATTTTTAATAGCCCAAGGACTGTTTCAGCCCCACACTCACTGTTGTGAAGCAGAACTTGCTGAAGGAGGTGCTGTTTAACTGTGAATTTGTCCCAAGAGCCTACTTCAATGAGTGGAGGATTTCTCAGAAATGCTCACCCTTAGCCTCTCTCCGCTGCCCTTGAACTCAATGCTAAAGGACTCTCTTCTGTCTCAGGAAGGAGCAGACTCAGTCCCCACTGTGCACTGGGGCAAGTTCCAGCCTCTTTGAAGCCTATCACTAAGCATACAGTGGCTTGCAAAAAGAGGGTACGTTTCCCTTCATACAAGCAAAGTCACTTACAAGTATTTGGTGAGCACAACTACATGGTAGGAGACCCCCCCCCCCC